GGTGCGTGAAAGGGTTTCGCTCCGAGTATGGATCCGGGTCGAGAGAATCGTTCAAATGTGACCGTGCATGGAACGAGGAGAGAGAGAGAGAAATAAATAATGAAAAAAATGCTTCGCGTGTGTGGGCGTCGATGTTCCGACACGTCCCCATCCATAAAAGAGAGACTGGGCATAAAATGAAGTCGTCCCGTGCGTTTCGGTCGTACGTATGCGAGGCGGGGGGAAAGGAGGCCCGGGCCTCCCACCCGGGCCTCCCACCTGATTCTATGTAAATCGTATGACCCGATTCGGCTTCGGGGAACGAAGGCAGTCGAAATTCATCTTGGAGAGGGAAAAGGAAAAAAAAAGTCATGTAATTGAATTTTTTATGTATAAAAAAAAAAGTAAACGGCCGCCATTTGGTGACTGGCCAGAGGGAGTCCCATTCTCGGATGACGAAGAAAAAACAAGGAATTCGAGAGAACCAACTCGGCTCGGTCTGTTTTGATAAAGCGTGGGAATCCCTGCAACCCATGTTGAATCCCGGGACACCATCGTACGTCCCTCGTTATCGTACCCTGTCGTTAGTCGTGAGTCATGAGGTTTATTAGGCTCCTGTAATTGGGGACTGTCGTCCTCGTATGCAAATGGAAAAATTGGGGGGGAAAGACCCCGATTACACACGTGACGCGCACTTTTCCGGTGATGGATCGTTCTCTTGATCCCGGTTAAGTGACCTCATCCCGGTCGATGGCTACCGGTTTCAGAAGTCTGTTTTTCTTGGCCGGATCTCTTCTTTTTCGGGAGAAACGAGGCTTCGCGTGTGATTGCTCGCTGTTTGGGTGTGTGTCTGCCAGCGTGAAGGTTCCGTCAACATTTGCGGGGGAGTTGCTTCACGCGTTGCCGGCCTTCTATCGTAACCCGCAAGCGTGCAGAACTCGACATCGATGTCGAAAACTCGACGTGGATTTTGGAACGGTGGTAAACGGAGAGCAGCCTGGACTGGGGCTCGGTCGGACGATGGCTTTGTCCGGAGGATTCCTCGTCGACGCCGGGGCCGGGATTTATGCGACACTCGTGCGGCGAGATTTCTCGGATGACTCATCTCTCTTGAAGAGGGCGAGAAGGGGGGGGAGTCCGCATAGCAAACAGGTCGTACTTTCTTGAAGGGGAAAGTGAATTTCACGCGTGGAGAGTCCTCTTCTCGTACCTGTGCATCACACGGGGACGAAAATGACGGGGAGGTTGCGCAATCCGCTTTGTGCCATCTGGTCTCTTTGTCACCTTAGCGCGAGGTTCCCTTGCGACAGATGCGTCCGGATCGTGTTGGTTCTGGGGCTCAACTCTTTGCCTCGAGCAGGAAATGCATCTGGAAGGAATTCTAATGACGTTCTCGTCTGGGCCTGCCAAAACGGAAATGGCACGTGTCGCACAAAGGAACGACAGGAATCTCTCCCTCTCCTTGTGTGAGGCGGTGGGGTGGGGGGAGAAAGGAAAAAAAAAAAAGAGAAAAAGATTGAAGATCGTATCTTCCCGGCATTGGCAGAGTTCATTAGAGAGGCTCGTACACCTGCCCGGAGAGAGGCAGTAAACAAGTCTTGGCCTGGACCTGGAGCAAGTCTCTCGCTCGTCTGTCTTTTGTTTCGTCGAGTTCCACGGGCGAGACCGAGTACAAATATTTATTCTGGGCCTTTTTTTTCCGTTGTCATTCTCTTCCGAGGGCGTCGACACTTGCCAAATCGCCGAGTCTTTTTTTTTTTATCTTCTCCGCTCTTCCTTCGGGCGGTTTTCCCAGGTACGTTTTCGTACTGGGCTCAAGGTCGACGATGGAAGTATGCCGGAGTCGTCGGAAGCCGGAAATTAGCGGTTTTGCCTTCCTCTTTCGGTGCCGTCATGCCTCTGTCATTACGGGGAGGCAATAGCCTCTTTGTAGGGAGAATGAAGGGAAAAAATACACACCCGAAAACTATCGAGTGGCATGGGGATCCCACAATGGGAGCAGACGAGCAGCTGCCGTTATCATGTCGGTCTGATACGTAAAAATGGGACATATTTTTGCATGATTTTTAAGCAATCGGGTGAAAGTCGGGTTGAGGTCCGTCGATCGAGAATAAAAATGAGGAGGATCGTGGAGTGTGTCGCAGCGAAGCGTTGTTTGCATATTTATGTTTATATTACAATCATATTACCCTCTGGGGTTTCATCACCTGTCTCCCTTGCCTCATTGAGGACGGTGTGAAATTTCCCTTACGGGCATCTCGGAACATGTCGACCGAGAGGAAGAGAAGGGTTCGAGTGACCCAAATGGTTCTTTGATGAAGGGGAGACTGGCTCGTATAACGGGGAAAAGAGAGATGAAGCCGATTGAATCGAACGGGAAGGATTCGATCGGCAATTTCTTTCTGACCTTGCATCGTGAAAGTCGACCTTAATTTTAGTTCCTTTTATGTTCGATTCTTTCCCTCTCTCTTTGATGTGGATCCGCGTTCGTCTCGAAGGAGGAGAAAGTCCTCGCTCGACCCAGACTGCTCGATGTCTGGCCTTGTTTCGTCCGGGAATAACGGGACGGGATGAGACGAATCGGGGAAAGGCGGGGTCCTGCGCGATCGGCGGGATTTAAACGCGTGTGTGAAAGGTTCAAGGGGTCCGGGGATTTATGGGGCGTACTTGGGACGTGCGGTGGGTCTGGGAGAGGGGAGAAGGGAATGTATGGGGTCAGAGGGGAGAAAAAGTTTTGAGGATGCTGGGGTTCCACGCGAGTGATCTCCGAACGAAACATAAATAATTAAAAATTAAAGGAAATTAAAATAGATTTGTTGGTTTTTTTTCGTCGTAGGGAGTGGATGGAAGCTGGAACGGGGAGAACGGAGGCGAGAAAGTGAGTCCTCCGAGCTCGGCCAATCTCCGCATGGACTCGTATCGATTCTCCATGATCAACCTCGAAGGTGAGGATTCCCGGGTCGGTCGTTGATGGAACGGTGTCGTGTTCTGCGGTTTTTTTTTTTGCCGTGTCGGGGGAGCCGCGTTTCGGAGGAACGTGGGGGGGGGGGGTCGAGTTGCCGTTCCGTTTCGTCGCGATGCGCGAGCAGTTGTTTTTCGATTTCAGAATAAAAAGCTCGTCTTGGGCGTGAGCTTCGTCGGAACCAAATTCGGCCTGCATCTCGTCTGTGTGTTTTCGCATTCCTGGTTACACAGCAATTCCTGTGATGTGTTTTTTGATTTATCGTCGAGCAAATGCAAACAGCTACACAGCTGTTTATGTGCTTGTGCACGGAGCAATAAGTCACCTGTTTCTTCTTTTTTTTCTTCTAAGAAGTGGTGCTGTCTAAAAGAAAGAAAAAGTAGGTCACTAATTAATACGTCCTGTCCTTGTATTTATTACTTATTATCCCTTTCGTTGCTCGACGATAATTGACCCATTGTAATGCAAGTTCCGATTCTGCGTGCTCATAGATACCATCTCATTTCGGGGGAACGATCGTGCATTTAGACATTGAATCATCCCCACCTTTTCCTCGTCTCTCGTGCAGATAGTTCCCCCGAGCATGCCAATTATGTATTGCAAGTGCAGAAAACCGTGCAACTCGGTGGTGGCTTTGCGTTCCAACCGGTTAGGCAAAAATGCTGCAAGGATCGAAGACAGGATTTCCGCTCGCTCGGAATCTCGAGTCGTCCAGCCGGCGACTTCCTTGCTTTATTTAAATCTCGTCCCTTGGTCTTCGCGGAAGACCTTTGACACGGAACGTGAGGTCGGAATGAATGGGGTTTCGCAAGGATGAGAAATCCTCCAGCTCTTTCTCGTTTATTTTTTATTTTTTCTTTTCATGGTGCATTCCTCTTTCGACGTGCCAGAGCCCCCGAGCACGCGCCTCGATCTTCATCTATACTAATGAGGCATTTTAATCGCGAGGCATTTTAATCAAGGGGCTGTCGGACGTGGGGAGGGATTACGTCACGGACCCGCGGCCAGCTGTCGACGCGCTGGAGCCCCGAGAAGAATGCGACTTGGTGTCCTTGGGGGAGATTTCCATCCGATTCTTGAAAGGCCTGAGGAAATGAGGGGGGGGGGGGAAATCAGCATGAGAAAACGATGCAAACTGGGACAATTAGCTTATTAAATGACCATCAGTCGATCGTTAATTGTTCTAATTAAAGATGAAAAATTGCGAAACAACAAAAATGACGATTGATGAAACGTCCAGAAAATTATGGCATTTTTATGCTCTTCTGCGAAATTTTTTTTTATTTTCCCCCACATCCAACTTCGTTTTGTTTTACATCCTGTAATGAATTTGCTAGAGACTAACGAGTCGAGTAGAAAGACCGACGAGGTGGAGTGAGTATGCTATTTTGGATTGGTGAGTTGCCAGCGCGCCCAGCCCGTCGCTGAGTGACGAACTCTCTCGCCCCTCGACGGTGTGAGAATGGAGTCCATTCAGGTGCCGTTCGTTTACTCTGGGGGCAGACAGAGGGGGGCTTTCTCGGGGGGGCACGGGGGGGGGGGCAGCGAACGATGCGGGGATTATGAATCGGCGGGGTCGGTGTTTATCTGAGCTCGTTGGCCGCCGGAGTGATTGCGTTTCCCTGTGAATATTGTATCCGTCGGTGCGGTGTTCCGTCGAAGCTGTTATGCACGGGAAGAGGAATCGGCAATAGATATGCGGGAGATGGAATGATACGGAGGAAGCAATTTCGGGGGAGGGGGAAGAACGAGGAGAGGGGGGGAAGAGAAAAGGAATCCAATTTAGAAATTGGGTACGATAGAAAAGAGGGAATATTCTGGGATAACAGGGGGATAATTCATCTTGGTGTGGGGGGAAAGATACATGGGGAAGGGACAGAAGGGGGATCTCTTGCATGCATGAGGGGAGACGATAGAAGGGGGATATGAAATAGTAAGGAGACAGGGGGAAATGGGTTCTTTGCTCTGACAGTGACTCCATTCTGCCTCGATTCTCTCAGTTTTATCTTAACCAAAATTGCGAGATGCCTCACCTCGAAGGAATGTGTGGCCTGGATGCATGGGCGGTGCTTTTTGACATGAGCCTCTAATGTGCATCATTGGGGGTTGAAAACCTGGCATAAAACCATCAAGGATAATTGCACGAAAATGGGTGTGGTATGTAATGCATGTGCATGTATGGTGATGCATAGGGCCTTGATGAAGTCATGAAGGAGCTAAGTGCTCCAATTCATCAGGCCAGACCCATCCAATCTGGGTACTGAATTTCTCTGGGGAAGCATGGTTCCAGGAAAGATGATTATCATTAGACCTTCCTCGTTGCTGGGGAAAGTTTTTGGAAGGGGCCGCGGAGGTCGAGAGGAGATTCCTCGCAATTTGAAACCGGCCCGTAATCGTTCGGACGGAAAATGGATCTGCGCTTAAGACGTGTTCTTTCTAAAAGAAACAAGTCATGATTGTGGTGAAGAGAATTTGTGACAGTGAAAGTGGAAGCTCTGGGCATGAGGGATGAGATGACTGCCTCTTTTCTCCACAGAAATTATCTCTGAGGAAGATGATGATGATCGTAATGATGATAACAATGATGACAATGATGAAAGCCACCATTGAATTAGAGTACTTTCATCGTGTGGTTCTTAACAAATTTCCACAATTTTCTTTTTTCGAAACAGACTCTCAGGATGTTGAATTGGACGCAATTCTGGGAGAACTGAGTGCCCTGGAGACCCAGTTCGAGAAGGAGCTCGGGTACAAGCCAGGGAGCAAAACTTCTTCTCAGGCCAACAGCTCAGGTACGAAGAGATATATTTGCGGTATATGTACTTCTGATTTTGAGTGTACATTTCTTGAATATACTTTTTTTTATTTATCGAATCCAGGAACAGAATCACATTATGGAGCACCTCATACCACACCTCAGGTTCATCATGTGAACGGGCGACCGCAGGTCTCTCGTCCTCAAGGCTTGGATCTTCATGGCATGCGAACTGAGGGCAATGAAGGTTGGTGTCTAAAAGAAACTTTAAAGAAGAGGAAGATTTCCGAACTCTGTTGTGCAAATCGAGTTACCATACATCATTTCCCGCTACCAGGGAATCGAACAGAAAGTCCAGATGCAGATTCAGCCTTCAGCGATAACGTCTCCATGCTCTCCAGTGAGAGTTCCACATCCAGCGGTGGGAGTGGTGGGAATGGGAACGGGAACGGGAACGGGTCCTCCCAGACTCCACAGCGGCCCACCCAACCTCTAACCCCTTCCAAGGTACCTGTAAGTACTTTTTTTGCTACTCTGTTGTTTGCACCAAAGTTATGCATGTTGCTGAATGATAACTACTGGGATTAAAATTTGGCTAAAGATGTAACCAGAATGTTAGTAAAGGTATCGAAATATGTCCAGTGAGTTCGTTTGAAAAATTTTTAAATTAGCATTTTTATGTTTATGTCCTCAAGTCCAAAAAGCATATGTTATGGATTTCTCTGCTTTGCTGCTGAGCCTCTCAAATAGCATGCGTTAGGTTTGTTTTCCATGGTTCTATGTAATCTCATGAAGAGTACTTAGGGGTGCTGGTTGCCTTTTTAATGATCTGCTGTGGATCCTTCCCTGATCTCCTGCCATGTCGATTATATCTTGATGTGGATGTCAATATTGACCTGGCTGTTCCTTACAGGAGATATCAGAGATGGCACGAGTCAAGGCAGAGAAGATCAGACTGGCCTTGGAGAAAATCAAAGAGGCTAATGTGAAGAAGCTATTTGTCAAAGTGTTCGGAGCAGACGGTGGAAGCAAGTCCTTGCTTGTGGATGAGAAGATGAGTGTCGGTCACGTGATGCGTCTTTTGGCGGACAAAAATCACATTCGATTGGATCCCAAGTGGGGTCTTGTTGAGCATCTACCGCATCTTCTCATGGGTTAGTGTTATTTAAAACAAAGTTGTAATTAAATTAGTGTGATTCAGGGTGCATTTACTCTGCTCTATCTGATGCCCTTGAGGATAAGATGCTCATGAAGGACCTCCATTAATGAAGGAATACATGAGGCTATGAACCTTTTATGTGAGACCTTGGGCAGTCTCTTGTGCCATGTTAAAGTTTGTCGGTCGATCTTGTCATGCCTGAGAGGAATCTCATAAAGATGAGCTGCATACTATAGAAATTTTTTAAGCTGCACACCCGATGCATTATCCTGTTTGATGGTAGATTGATGACTGGCCAAGCCTGGCATAGTCATTAGTCTTTCATTGGAGACAGAAAAGGCAGGGTGTCAGGTGCATGCCAAGTCAGCTGAAACGTCAATGATGCAACCCTTTTTCACACCTGATCGACTCCTGCGTCATCTGCACGGAGCCGAGAGGGAGTCCATTGACTTGGATTCTTTGTGGTTTTCTCGTAGAGCGGGCATACGAGGACCATGAGAATCTGGTCGAAAATCTTCTCATGTGGACGAGGGACTCCAAGAACCGCCTGTACTTCATGGAACGACGAGAGAAGAATGCTCTCTTCTGTCAGCCAGAAATGTTCCTCCTGGGGACGTCCTCTTCTCAGAGGGACCGCATCTTGGACGAAGAGTCCCGCACTGCCCTTTTAGAGGTATTTCCTTAAATATGAAATATGCATCAAAGAGATGAAGGGAAGCAAGTCTATTTTGGGAAATTCGAAAGATATACGTACATATAAAGATATATGTACGACAGTATTCATGACCACTTTTTTTATTTGAGTGGGAGTAATGCATTAGGGTTGCACTTTGCATACTTTCCTGTAAATGTTAACCAGGAACAAAAATGTTTATTAATTGACTTTGCTTTTCCCTTTGTTTTCTAATTGCCTCCAAGGATGAACAGCAGGTGAGCAGAAACGTGTTCATTTCACATTCCTTCTGCCTGCCCAATAAGCTTCTTGAAAATTTATTATAAACTTGAGAGTAAGCCATGTGAAAGTTTCTCATCTCTGTGCAATGTTTAAGTATTTTATTTCTTTCACCAGGAATTCTTTGCTGGAAGTGGAGTAGGTGTTCCAGAAGTGGAAGGTTACCTTTTCCTCAAATCAGAAGGGAAGAAAGTTTGGAGGAAGCACTGGTGCATCCTCCGTGCTTCGGGCCTCTACTATTCCCCGAAGGGAAGTCACAGGGGACGCTCCTCTAAGGATCTCGTCTGCCTGGCCACTTTCGAAGTCAATCAGGTCAGTATATCTTTGTTTTCCCATCCCTGAATTGCTCTCGTCCTTGGCATCTCGCAGGATGTCTCAATGGGTCCTGTTCTTGCTGTAGGTCTACTATGGGGTTGGGTGGAAGAGGAAATACAAGGCACCTTCAGAGTTCTGCTTTGCTCTCAAGCATCCCCAACTGCAGGCCAAGTCAGCCAAGTACATCAAATACCTGTGTGCCGAGGATTCCACCTCCCTCCATCAATGGGTCACTGGAATTCGTATCGCCAAGGTGAGTGTACTCTCGACCCTCAGACTCTTTGAACCCTTTAGGGCCTTACTTTTTTCATTTGAAGTATGGGAGCACTGATAATGAAATTCAACTTATTTTATGGCCATATCTTGGACTCAAAATCTTTGGTGAGTTACTGCTACCATATACCAGCACAGAAATGATTCAAGATGAAAAATTTGCAAAATTTGTATGAGGAAAGGAAGCATCTGAAAGCAAGTTGAGTCCATCTTCAAGCCTTTTGGAGAAATCTGCATGGATGTGAAACCAAACGGGATTTAATTGGAGACCTACAGTTAAGCCGAGAGTTTCATGGTAGAATGTACAAGAATTCAGAATACAGAATTGATTTTAATTAATATTTAATTTCCTCCAATTGAACAAAAAGTTTTATCTCTTGAAAAGAAACCTCAAGCTTGCATTTACATGTTTTCACCTCATCAGAGAATCTGGAACATCCGGAATTGCTCTTGACTTTTCAACAGTAATTTGCAATTTCCATAATTGGATTCGTAAGGTTTGCCTTCCTTCTTATACCTAAAAGGGCAGTAATTGAAGCTGCTCCTGAAAACATTAAATGTCAGATTCCGGGCGAAATTGAATTGAACTGTGCACCCAAGTTATTATATTTAGCAAGGTTCTGATTTGAGAATGATTCTTTCTAAATGCAGTTTGGTCATCAGCTGGTGAGCAATTACCGGAAACTGATGGACGACATGACGCAAGAAGACATCGATCGCTTGGCACAGGAACGAGGCTTCTCCATGGCATTGCCCCCCTCGGTCCCGACCATGAACGGCTCCCCCGCTTCGCAGATGTCGAGCGGCACCAGCCGACGCTCCAGTTCGAGTTCCAGTGGGTGCATGAGTGAGCGGTCTTCGGCGTCGACGCCGACGGCGGAACAGGGATTCGAGTGCGAGTTCGCGGGGCCGATGGGTACGATCAAGCGGAAGCCATCCATGGCGCCTCGACTGCCGTTGACCGTGACCACCCGGATGCTAGTCAAGGAATCGGGAATGGACAGCGTTCCCAGGGAGTCTCCCGAGAGTCCACCCGAAGCGGGCAATGCGGACGGGGAAGCCGATTTCCCTCCACCGCCCCCCGAAGCCTTCATGGCTCTGCCGGGTGCTCTCCTCGGTGCCGGATCGGAAGAGTCTCTACCGCCTCCTCCGAGTCCGATGATGAAACAGAGCACCAGTCTGGACTCCCTCCCTCCGCCGCCACCTCCCGAGACGTCGACTTGCGACGGGAAGCTCTACGACACCTGCTCGCAGAGACGCGCCACGTCCGAAGAACCCTATTTCAGCTTGGTGAAACTGAGGAAACAGCACTCCATGCGGGTGGAGCCTTCCCCATCTAGTCAGAGTGTCCCTAAACGTCCCGCCTACCCCCAACCACCCCCGAAGCCGAGTCTGTTGAGCATGACGTCCCCTCGAAAGACGGCCGCCAAAGGACGCAAGATCAGCTTCAAGGAGTCCCCGACCGAGATAGAACCGCCTTCCACCCAGAAGCCAGTCTTCCTCCGCGAAGCCGGTCGGGGTTCCTTGAGGCAGCAGCAGTCGGCTACCCCGCCTCGGGCCTTCCTCAAGGACCTTCAACGAGTGATGCAGAAGAAGTGGCAGGTGGCTCAGAAACTGAAGCAGGAGAATCGAAACTCTCCTTACGAAGTGATGGGTTTCCGGGACCCAAACGGGTCCGACGTGGACGACGCATACGTCCACGTCGGTCGGTGGATCTACGAACATTACGGTGGCCCACCCCCGGAGATCCTGCCCCCACAGCCCCGAGAGAGCCCGTCTCAGCCGGGACCCACGTACGGCGGTCACCCGGGTTCACCCGGTGAACACCCCTCGACGTCTTACGGTCCCGCGTCTTCGCATTACGGCCCGCCTTCTCGATATCACCCGCCCCACCAGAACCAGGTCTACGACCAGAGCGGACCGGCGACGTCCGCGCATCAGATATACGGAGTGTTGCCTTCGCAGTACGGCTCTCAACCGATCTACATGCCCGGGCACCAGGCGCTCCCATCCCAGACGTACGGGACGGTGCCGATCCAGCCGCGACACGGACAGTCGAGCCAGATCTACAGCATACCTCCACGGAGCACCCCGACTCCGGTGTCGACCGGTGACACCCGCTACAGCATTCCACCACCCGCGAGCGAACCCATCCCGTATTACAACCCCGACCAGTGGTCGCGCAACACCATGCCCCCGGAATACTACGGCCAGGCGTCCACCTCGTGCGTGTACGAGCCCCTGCGTCCGGTCGACAGTGTGATAACCCCTCGGCACGCCCCCGGACTGTATCGCCAGACGAGCTTCGGCACCGGGGATGGGATCCGCATGTCCCAGCGGAAGCGACCGCCGCCCCCGCCGCCGAAGCGCAGCGAGACCACGCACTTGTCCGTGAGACAGCCTTGAATGCGAGGGATTCGTCGTACGTTGGTTTATTTCGATTCCCTCTGTGTGGACTCGACGAACGTTCTTTGCAAGAAGCGTGCAGGTGCGAGGAAGGAGAATAATGATCCTGTGGTAGAAAGAAAAAAGGAAGGCTGGGTTCTCTCACGATGGCCTAAGAAAAATGGTGCTGCTATATTTTGAACGATTGTTCTTTTTTTTCTGTTTTATCGTTTGGTTGCAGTCGCAACCCAGGTGATATATGCGTCTCGAAACAGGACTACAAAGTTATGTACAGGAGTGTGGATTCTCTTGTATCATATTTATGTGATGAAGTCTGGAATCACACACACAAACAAACAGACACATACGCGCAGAGCCTTTGATATTGGATCGCTTGTCGTGCTATGTCCAGCCGTCATCATCGCGTCAAAAGGAAGCTCTTGTGCCTTTTTCGTTCTGCCTTACTTTCTTAAATTTCCAATTTTTTTTAAGCACTTTGCTTTTGTTTCCTTTTGCTTGTTCTCTCACACTTGTTGCACCCTGTTGACCTTTTCCATCGGCATATCTCCCGTTTTTCCCCGTGTCTCGTCTAGCCTTTTCCTCTAATGATGTGCTGTTCTCTGGAATGATGCTTTCGGATTAAAAAAACAACTGGCAAATTGAAGAGAGGTGTATTTCCTTGGACTGTGAGTGCTGGGTTGAAGCGCGATCTTTTCTGTGAAATCCATGAACAAAAAAAAAACGCCTACCCCATGCCAATGTTGCTTTCCCGATTAGAAAGTTAGATTCGGTTTTTATGCATTTGGTTTCATGAAATCTCTTGAACGCCCCGTAACATTCGTTGTAGGCGTTCGTAAAATGGACTTGGAATGCAGGTCGGTCGCCATCCGCATCCATACGTTCTCTTCTCGATTGAAGGGAGAGAAAAAAAGCTTGGGAAGTCGGGACAGCATTCATTCGTTGGACCAGAGAGTGCTTGGAAGTATACCAAGAGAGAGATGTCTCTCAGTGAGATGTCGATTGCTTTGCCATTGCTTCTTGGAGGCTAGAAAAAAAAAAGCATTCTTCCTGTCGAGTCTGGCAGATATTCAGCATTTTTTATGGCAATATCTCGAACTGATAGAATCTGCTGCCATATCCCAACAGCGAAATTCTTCAAGGATCATCGACGCTAACGTTCGTGAAACGGGCTCGGAATGCCGCTAGGTCGCCATCCGTTTCGGTAAGTTGCCGTCCGCCCTCAAGGAAAATCCCCATATGTGGGCACTAAAAGTATCCGCAGGAGATCCTCGAGGAGGATTTGGTTGTTGGACATCCACATGCCATTCCCTAGTTCACACCAAAAAGTCTACTAGCCCTTGCGCTGTTTTCTTATCAGTCTACCTTTGGCAGAGGGCGTGATTTTGCACGCTAAAGTAGTGAATATTTTAGGGGTCGGGAACCTTTTTGGCCCTGTGAGCCATATTTAGATTGAGCTAAGTGCTTGTGAGCGAAAGGTTTTCAGAAAAACATTTTTTCCAGAAGTTGGCAGCAGACATTCTTAGATACATGAGAAAAACGAGAAACAACCATGATTTAATGAGCCAAACTTGGCTCATGAGCCATAGGTTCCCGACCCCTGGAATAGAGGGACTGACACTAACTACACGGGCTTGGTCATTTCTGAAGGCCTAAGCTAACTGGACTTGGGTTCAGCATAAAGGCGTACACATTCAGGCGCATGCCATAGGCTCTAAGTCTTTCTTCATTCTAGGAGCAAAAGCATAGCCAACAGGGCCTTGTCCTGTCACAGACTTGACATGATAGTTCGGCTAGGAAAACCCCCTGCGAACGAAGTTCGCGGGAACGGAGACGGGCGGGCGAGCGGCCCGCTTAGTCCGCTTGCATATCCTTCCCGGGAAATTCCAATTTGTCACCTCAGGTTCGCTGGAAAAAAAAAGTTTTTTCCTACACTGGGCCCAACGCATGACGTGAAAATCGCAGCGGATGTAATCCTTGATAACACACAACAGAAGAAAGGAATACTGAAGTCGAATGGCGCGCTGCAGGGACGCCATGATGGAAACTGTGCCAGTGTTGCCATCGACGCCAGTCTGCTCTGCATTCGTTTTCAATCCTCTGTGTCCAAGTTGGAGATGCAGCCAAGGCTGTGGGACATGACTATCCTTAACAAAACGGCCAGATCCTGTGGGGAAAAGTCCTGAACATTTACAGAGCAGTTCACCTGTAGTTTCGATTTCACAATTCAACTTTACAATCACTAATTTTGCCTCTCTTCCCCCGATCATCGGCCAGGCACCAGAGGGAAGAGAGAAAGAAAAAGTTATTTTCCCTCCAAACCTCAAGAAAATTTTCCACCCTGATGCAGTCCATGGGAATTTAATAATTCTAATCCATCCCTAATAAACTCCAAATGCTTTGTGCAAGTACACACAGCACATCTTCCCAATTAAATTTCATCAATAGGCTTCGGTAGCGCCTATAACCTCTCTTCAACCCACCACCAAATTCAACCTCTGTGTTCCTCTCTGAGAGCATCAACAGGAACGAAATTCGGCGTGTCTCTTCCTTCTCTCAACACAGAATCACTTCAGCAAATTTGAAGCTCTATCTCCAGGGGTTGTGGAGAACACTGATTTTCACTTTTTGAAGATGTCATATTCATTCCGTCTTTTTGCTTTTTATTTTATTTTTTATTCCCCCCCTGGAAGGCTTTCGGAGGTAAGAGACCAATAATGAGAAAAATATTGACTCTAGATGACGAAAAGTGGCCTTTTTGTTGCTTGCGGTGCACAATTTCGACATTAAAAAAAAGAAAGAAATTAGCCGTTGTTAATTTAGGCTTAGCGTGATGGCTCCGGTACCATCCTCCAGTGTTGCCGGATATCGTGCCGAAATTATGCCAGATTGAAGACTACTTCAACCTTAGTATCAGCGTCTGGATCCTCTGTTTTTTAATGTAAGAGACATTTTCGTGCTGAATTCATGAGTTGAGCTGAGAATGAAGCGGTGGCTAACAGATTGATCGATGTGGTGGGATATGGAAATATCTTATCCGGACATCCCTGAATTACCCGGAAGGCGCGCACCATGGACTTCATGCTTCCTGGAGGCATTCCCTTCTCAGACCTATTCGAGATGGTTCGAGGAACTCCAGATTGGCCTGACGTTCCACGTCCCACTGAAATGGTTTGTGAAAGTATGATTAGGTCCGCGACTGGCCTAACGTTATGCGTCCTTAGCGAGATGTCTCGTTGACCACGGATTCATACTTAAAGGCCGTACATTGTTTCCGGATTGAATTCGTACCGCCTATAGATAGTTTTATCTATCACCTGCTGAGGCGGAACCTTTGGAAACGTGTGTTTTCTCCATTCTCCACTCTGGGGGTGGTACGAATTCAATCCGGAAACAGTGTATTGGCACCGTAAGTCGAGAATTGAGTTCCTTTTGAAAGAAAAAAGGTAGGGATTGGGGTGACCTGAAGGCAGTCAGGTGGTTAGGCCTAGGCCTAACGTTAGTGAGTCCTCATCGAGAAGGGAGGGGGGAAGGGGGG